TTGCTTCACAGCATTTGTAACACAGAATGGGCAAAATGCTATGCAAGGTGTCACCTTCTGATTTCTCTAAAACAGGTTATCAGTAACACCTCTCTATTATCATGAGTGAAACAGCCAGGCCTAGAACACTGGATGGAGGTAACAGCAAAAGAGGAGGAAAGTACACAAGAACGCAGAAAAAGGACAAAGGACAAAAGGAAATAGGAACAAGAGAAAGTTACAATGATGTATAATGCTAACAGCAGTGTTCTGACTATTATATTTCAGATAGTTATTTAGTGACCGTAGTGCCAGAGGATAAATTTGAGAGGTCTAGTCCTCTCCTTCCAAAAGCCCTGGTAGCCCTTTGTTAGCCTAAACCTTCCCTCCCTGATATGGCCACTACACAGGGAATGAATTCAACTGAATAAACAGTATGAATCACATCACCACCCCTACCTATCTGTTCAACTATATCCTCCCTTGCAATACATACATCTTGTGCTTAACTAAACAGAATCCCAGTCAGGGACAGAGCAAGGCATATTAGGAATCGCGTCTTCAAACAACCGTCCTTAAATAAAACCCCCCTTGCACTGACAATACAGGCCTAAAGCAGAGTGCCTACTTTTAGAAATTAAAACACTGCGGAGTGAATGCTGATTCAGAGAAGGGAGTTTTTCAGACTTGGGACTCACATGACTGAACACACTAACTGTGAGCAATGTTAATCTTGGAAATCTACATAATGTTCTTTCTTTTTGGGTGTACCAGAGATCTATTCATTATCTGTTAATGGACTGGATATTCAACAATATATATATATAATTCAATCAAATTCTTCACAGGATGCCCTAAGTGAGTGCATTTAAAATATACAGCCGCTGGGAGTTAAGTCTAAATCCCCACTTAGGGCAACAACATATTAACTCGGTCACTTTTATAAAAATATGAATCTCAAATCTGCTAAGATCAGCTGGAATAAAAAGAATGTAAAAATACAGATTTGTATTAATTTCAGAAATAGCAAAGTACCTACAAACATCAGACAATAAAATGATAGGGGTGTGTGATTAAATCTCTTACCTAACTGACACAGCCAAGTCTACTCAAAAGCAGTATTAAGCAGTGCGGCCCTTGTGATTTCACCCTTTGAAAAAGCCATTCTCTGTAACACTCATTAGATGATCAAATCTAGCCTTAGGGATCTCTTCCTATGGTTGTTTGATAGGCTGCTTTATATTATTTACCCTTGAGATTGTTATTTGGCTACATAGTTACACCTTGTCTCTCCAACTATAATGTATGCAATTTTAGAAGAGAGAAGTTGGCATAGTGCTTTTAGCACAAAAGTGACAATAATCACTAACTTGTACCTGCTACTTATTGTGTATCAAATTCTAAGCACTCAATATTTGCTGTTATTGAAATAGATGGGTCCCAACTATTATTCATACCTCTAGGGGATTGGTTTTCTTCCCTTGATACTTCATATAACTTGCTGAGTGCTGGATTATTCATTTTTCCTTCTGATTTTGTTTCCCACTTAAAATTAATAGGAATTTCACAAAAGACTAAAAGGGGACAATAAGTGTGAATGGGAGTTAGCACAGTAAAGAAAAAGTACGAATAAGTAGCATTCTTTTTTATCTTTCCATGGTTGGTAGCAGCATTCTATAACTGAGCCAAATTCAAAGGCACTGTTACTGAGTGCTTTCTGGTTCATAATGACCCCATAGGATAGTGTACAACTGCCCTGGTGGGTTTCCAGTGCTGTAACTCTTTACAAAGGGAGACAGATTCATCTTTCTCCCAAGGAACTGCTGGTGGAGTCAAACACTTGCCATGCAATTAGCAGCCCTACATGTAAACTCACTATGCCACCAGGACTCCATTCTGTAACAAAAGGATTTTCTAAATGGCAGGTTTCCAAGTTCTTAAAATACAAGTGACTCTTATCTAAATAATTACTCCTACCCAAAAAAGCTAAATCAAGGTCAGAAGTAGCCCAACGAAGGGGTCCTATGCCAGCATCCATCAACATCAATGTTACATTGCTGGTATCCTGTTAACTCTCCTACCAATAGGTGGTTTGATCTGTATAGGAGGCAGTAGGGCTGTGGAAATTATACCAAGAGAACAATAATTCTTATGTTCTTGTTCCAAGATCTCAGATGGCTAAAAGACACTCCAATATCCTGACTTTCATCAATACCAACCTAAGTTTCTGGGCATCACGTACCATGACTTTAAGAATGTTAAGTGTGATCTTTGGAGACTCATCAAGACTTGCATTTCCAGGATCCCAATAATGGCATCTATGCTCTCTACCTGCCTTAGGCAGTTTTGAGGTTTGAATGGCACAGGAAATTGCTTCCTATGCCCAAGACTGGCACACCCTGTTGTATGGCATACCTCCCAGCCTAACAGAGGAGGAGTCTATCTCCACGACTGGCCACTATCAACAAAGAAACAGGCCAACTGGGAAAAGAGCCAAAAACCTTGGGTTGGAATGTTTTCAAGGTAGGCAGGCACTCTGGTTTAACATTTAATAAATTATGCTTAGAGCCATATAAATAATAAATTAAGAGAACTAGTCACCCAAGAGCTATTAATGTTATTGGTTTTATGACATCTTTTAATAACACAATTATTATTACATCTTCTAAAACCCAAAACAAAAGAGGCCATCATCGTCTGAAGTTGAGTCCACTAGCTGTCATTTTCCATTCATCACGCCATTTCCTGCTTTCATCCATCCTCATCCATCAACATAGAAACCCACTCCCTCCCAAGCACCTCCAGCAAGAAGCCAAATACAACACTCAGGCTCTGGAGGCAGGAAGCTCCAACTCTACCCTGGGACCTAGATCCATCCAACACACATCTATTGAATACTACTATGTGTGAAAAGCTGTATGTGCTCTGCCCTTGTGTCACAGGACGCAGAGAAGTTCTTGTGTTCTCTACATGCCTGTGCTTTCTACCTCAGCGATAGACCGTTTGATAACTCCTGTTAATATTGCTTCCTTTCTGAGACTAAGGTTTCTCTTCATCTTTAGTCACTTCCAGTCATCTTTAGTTATCTGTTTTTAATCTGAATCGGGTCTCTTATTCTCAAAACACCACTGAACAGTATTTTTCTAATTACAGGCTGACAGTCATCTCTGGTTCCCTGACTGACAATCTGATACATATTTATCTTTGAACAGAGGTTCTCAAGCTGTGTGTATAGCAGAATTAACTGAAAAACTTAGAAATATAAAGAGGCTTTTAAAAAAGTTTGTGGGGGAAATTTCATTATCTTTTCATTCCATTTTCCAAAACCTTTTTGAAACCCCTTGTAGAGACACAAGTGAGGTGTTGCATTTTTAGCATTACCAAGTAATGCACAGGCCCTTGTCTGTGGACCACTTTGAGACTCATTGATTTTTGTTTGGGTCTCAAATCTGATGCAAGCAATAAATTATTCATGTAATTTTAAGGGATTTGTGAATGGATATTTATAGATATCCTCTAATTTTTCAAAGGAATATTTAAGATATACTGTTTTCCTGACTTGACAGTAGAAAGTGTTCTTGGTGGTATAGGGAAATTCAGTGTGTATAAACACCCACCAAAAATGAGGTTGGCAATTACTCCTAAAGGATCACATTATAATGTCCTGGAGAGTGGGAGAAAAAGATGAATCAAAAACCCAAATCATAAGAGACCAGCCATACTAGACCCCCAAGACTATGGCCCTTAATCACCCTTCAGGTCTGGAACTGAACTCACCCGTGTCAGAATAATCAACTACTTCAAGTCCAAAGGGCAGCACTGACCCAAGAACAAAGGACAGGTTAGGGGAAAAGAAGGAATGAAAACAGGAAACACACTGAGTTAGTGGGCTAAGTGATGGTACACTGAACAAACTGTAATGAAACAAAATGTATATGAATTGCTGAACACAAAACTGATTATCTGCTCTGTAAACCTTTACCCAATTCACAGTGTTTTTTAAAATTTGGGTAGAATTGCTTAATACTGGAGAGTGAGCTCTTTCAAGAGGTTGCCCTCTTTATCATGTGGCTCTTTTACCTGCATGTGATAATTTTCTGTACCTCTGGTTTAGGTCTCAGAAGCAAAACACTCATTATTCAGTATTTAAAAGGATCTTTGACACTGTTCTAACAAAGTCCTTTATTTTGTAGGTGAAGAAATGGTCAGGGAGAAACTTGATTAGAACAGAACTAAACTGAAATCCTGATTCTGTCTTTCCAAAAGCTGTGACACATGAACTACGGTATCTCCATCTATGAAACTGTGGATCTTAGAAGAAAACCACTTTTTCCCCATCCAGGCAAGGGATTCGAGGCAACTATAAGAATTGAAAGGGGCGTGGTTCTACTATTAAAAACTAATTACCTTTATTTATAGTAAAGAATTTAAATGCTGGCTAGAGAATTATCTTAAGAAAATGGTAATAAACAATTTTCAAGCTGCTTTGAAAATCCAACATTTTGTTATTTATGAACGTTAACTAGTATGTCATTTACTGTATTTACATATTTTATAAACAATATTTATTCTCCATTATAACTCAGGGTTTATACTCCTTATAAACCATCCTGCCTTTTAATTTGGCTTTATTTTATCCTTTCCTTCTCTATATAGTGCCTAACATTATTCCAACATCTACTGAATAAATAATAATAAACCTTCCCCGTTAGACTTGCATGGTATATATAGAGCCTTTTAAGATGTTTCCCTCTGTATCTCAACAGACAGCAGGAATCCAAGTAATTCATCTCTACCCTATTCAATAAGGTTTCTCAGGATGTAGCTATTATAGATATAGCTCAATTCTGTTATGTTTTAGTTTTTAAAGATCTATCAGATATTCTTTCAGTCTTAGTTTTGTGCAGGGGGCTTTGAATTGGGTGTAATAAGTGAGTGTGCATACAGAATTACCACTGAAACACACCAGTTTTCCATATCTAAAAATCCCCTAACCTTCAAGGAATTTCATCTTAACCTACCTCTTGTAGAAGACGTGGATCCAAGCAGTCACCATCATCATTAAACATGGAGTCCCAACTTGCCTCAGTCTCAGTGCTTCCTTCCACATGAGAAGTTTCTGTTGCTTTTGGCTCCATGGGTGTTTCCATAGATTCCGATTCCGTATCACAAAAAGACACATCAAATTTTCTATCCTCTGACTCATCTTCCTCTTTTGTTTTAATCGTCTCAGCTCTCAGTTCATTCAACATTTCTGTGACATCACCAGCACAATCCACATCATTGCCCAAGGCACTGTCTGAAAGCACTTTTGTCCCATTTAATATACTAAGTTTAGAGTCCAAAAAAGTGGTATAATTACTACCAGCAATCTTCTTTATAGGTAAGGAGGACACACAATCTGACAAGCTCTCTGCCAACTTTCCTGCTGGCTCTGGGCAGCTCGATGCAGTACTCTCAGCATAAACGTCTGAACAAGTAGTCAGGTTGTTCAGATGGTTAGTGTCATTTCCACTTCTATCTACACGAAGAGGAACTGTGTCTGCATTTACTCCTGTGTATTTTAAGAAACTTCTTGTGTTGCTACGGGCATCATCAACTATTTTAACTGCAACTACACAAGGGCTGTCCACAGTTACATACTCAGAGAAGACATCTGTCATGTTCATCACACATACCTTAGTGGTAACATCACCTACACTATCAAGTCCATTATCTGTGGATGTTTCATGAGCAAGGATAGTTGTATCAGAAGGTTCATACTTTACACATAACTCAGCAGCAGTGCTAACATTTGTCTCACATTTTCTAATCATTATAGGATCAAAAGTGCCATTTATGTTCTCTAACTTGCTGAGTACAGGCATTTTCTGAGTGATGTGACCCAGAACCTCAGGAATGGAATCTATACTTTCCTCGCTCAAGATTATACCCGAACTATTGTCTCTCTCACCTACAGTCTGAGCTTTAGAGTCCAAACATGTCTGATCAATGATAATGTCTGGACTTCCAAGAACAGGAATAGCCATGATGCCTTCATTGCTGGGTTTCAATATTCCACCAGATGTGTGCATTTCTTGCTGTACAATTCCAGAATCAGAGGTCAACTTTAGTGATGCATTTATGTCGCCAGGCTTCGAGGCATAATTGAAGACCCCAGGAAACTGGGATACTATCTCCACAACATTAGAATCTGTTTCAATTCTGCTTTTCAAATCTCTGTCCTCCCATGTTTCCCCATTCAGTTCATGCCTACTAAAATCACAGCCTTCCACATTTTGGAATGGTGCGACCAGAGTTTGAGCCTCACCAACTTCTGAACAAGAATGTGACGGAAGCAAATTCTCACAACTTATCATATTTGTGGTCTCAGCTTCCAAGCGTTCTACCTTTTTTGGCTTAAAAGGCACATTGGATATAATCTCAGGAGTGGAGGCTCTTTGGTGATGTACTGGGGATAATACTTCTTTGGATTCAGTGGTCCCTTCCTTAATGCAAATTCTACCTTTGTTTTTTTCTCTATGGCCTGTATCTTTTTTTAACTTTGTTGAAGATTTCTTTCCTTCCCTACGATTATGTTCATTTTTGTCAGGATTAATATCTACTCTTTGAACTCCAGGTGTGTCTTTAAAGAGCTCTTTTTCGCAGAGAAAATGTTCTTTTTGTTCTTTCGCCACAGAGTTAGGGGGACCGTGGCTTTTTCCCTCATCATCTGCCTTGGAGAGGACCATACCCCTTCGAGCTTTGGGTACATAGAGTGCCATGTCAGGCCTTCTGGCTCGAACTCTGCATCTCTCTGTTTCTTGCTGCATGGCACTTCCTTAATCTGCAACAAAGAGAGAATGATTTAACTGCGAGAAACTAATTACAATGTATCGAACCAAGATATATTTTTTAAAAAGACTAGGTTATGAGCCTACATTTATAGATTTAGTATTAAGGTAGCAGAAGGACATTGGGCCTCCACTCAAGTACTCCCTCAACACAAGAATACTTTCTTCTATTAAATTGGCATTCTATGATGCTCACCTTCCCGACACAACCGCTGAAGACAAAGCGGGTGAATAAGCAAATGTGGTGAAGAAAGCTGATGGTGCCCGGCTATCAAAAGATATAGCGTCTGGGGTCTTAAAAGCTTGAAGGTAAACAAGCGGCCATCTAGCTCAGAAGCAACAAAGCCCACATGGAACAACATATCAACCTGTGTGATCACGGGGGGTCGAACAGATCACTGAAGACAAATGGGTGCATAAGCAAATGTGGCGAAGAAAGCTGATGGTGCCCGGCTATCAAAAAGTATAGCACCTGGGGTCTTAAAGGCTTGAAGGTAATCAAGCGGCCATCAAGCTCAGAAGCAACAAAGCCCACATGGAAGAAGTACACCAGCCTATCCAACCACGAGGTGTCGAAGGGATCAGGTGTAAGGCATCATCAGAACAAAAAATCTTACCATAGTGAATGATGGGGGGAGTGCGGAGTGGAGATCCAAAGCCCATTAGTAGGCCACTGGAGATCCCCTTGCAGAGGAGTCTCAGGGAGGAGATGAGCCAGTCAGGGTGCGATATAACAATGATGAGAAATACAACCTTCCTCTAGTTCCTAAAGGTTTCCTCCCCGCTCCCACTACCATGACTCGAATTCTATCTTGCAAGACTGGCTAGACCAGAGGAGGTACACTGGTACAGATAGGAACTGAAAATACAGGGAATCCAGGATGGATGAGCCCTATAGGACCAGTGGTGTGAGTGGCAAAACAGGGAGGGCAAAGGGAGAATGGGTAGGAAAGAGGGAACCGATTACATGGAACTGTGTGTGACCTCCTCCCTGGGGGACAGACAACCGAAAAGTGGATGAAGGGAGAAGTCGGACAGGGCAAGATATGACAAAATACCCATTTATAAACTATCAAGGGCTCATGTGGGAGGGGGGAGCGAGGAGGGAGGGGAAAAATGAGGACCTAATGTCGGGGGTTTAAATGGAGAGAAAATGTTTTGAGAAATGATGTACAAATACGCTTTACACAATTGATGTGTGTATGGATTGGGATAACAGTTGTATGAGCCCCTAATAAAATGTTTATATAAAAAAAAAACAAACTCTGCTACAATATACCTAATTCAATCAGATAATCAACTGAAGAGAGATTCCAAGTAACTCATGAATTTTATCAAAATATCCTTTCTTCATATTTCCCCAAACCTTTTACCTCTATTTCCCAAGTCCTCTTCCCTTTTAATAAGTATCATTGTCTTAAACTGAGTACAAACAGATCTTATCATAATAGTAATAGCCAGCCATCAAAAACCAAACTCACTGCTATCGAGTCAATGCTGACTCATAGTGACCCCCTATGGATTTCTGAGACTGTAACTGTTTAGGGGAGTTGAAAGCCCAGTGTCTTTCTCTCACAGAGCTGCTAGGGGTTTTGAACTGCTGACCATGCAGATCGCAGCCTAACATGTAACTACGACATGACCAGCGCTACTATTAACCAGCCATCAAGTACTCATAAAATACAACCATCTCTATATTCTAGAAGCATAGAATTTAGATTGATGAGTATATTCAAGAAGAACTAAATCACACCTGTTCAACAAAAATATATGTAAGTAAATGCAATGATTTTAATAGTAACCTGAATGGAAGAAGGTAGTTAAAACTATATTTGGGGCCTAAAGAATGACAAAAGAGGTAATCAAAGAATGCTTTTTGGAAGATTTGTTTTTGAAGTATGATGTCTTAGGAGAGGTTTTGGGTTTTTTTATAAGCATCAATCGGTCACGACTTATTGTCAACTTTCTTATTCCCAGTCCCAACAAATTAGGTCTGAGTACAGTGAAAGAGGGTAGAGACCAAGAAAATTCTGATGGAATAACTCAAGCTAATAATTTCCTGACCTACTTCCACCACAGTTGGCCAAGAAATTTGATAAGGGGAAGAAACTTATCACAGGTTAAATAAACCTTTACCTACGATTAACTAAGGGCATGGAAATGTGTTGGACAATTTCACATTGAGTTATTCTTTAATCTTCAAAACAGTGCTGTGAAGTATGAGTAAATACTAGTTTGTCCATGACAATGGGAATAAGAATATGGTAAAGGAGCTAGGGTAGGTTCAGTGGTTAAGCACGTAGCTGCTAACCAAAGGATAGGCAGTGTGAATCTTAACTGAATAAAAAATAGGCAGTGTCTCCAAGCAAGAAAGATGTGGTGGTATAGTTCTGTAAAGACTGTTGTTGGCTGCCACTGTTGTTTCTAATAGGGGCCCTATGTACAAAAGAATGACACAATGCCCAGTCCTAAGCCATCCTCACAATTGTTCTTATGTTTGACTTGATTGTTGCAGCCACTTGTGTCAATCCATCTTGTGGAGGGCCTTCCTCTTTTTCAGCTGCCCCTCTACCAAACGTGATGACCTTCTCCAGGGACTGGTCTCTCCTGACATGTCCAACGTACATCAGATGAAGTTTAGTCATCCTTGCTTCTAAAGAGCATTCTGGCTGTACTTCTTCCAAGGCAGATATTTTTATTCTTTTGGCAATCTATGGCATTTTCAATAAAATTAAAAGCATATGGGGCAATTCCCACTCTACCGTATGAGGCTCATTATGAGTCTGAAGTAACTCAATGGCAGTTACAGTATTTTGATTTATACATAGCAAGGAGTGAGTGGGCATATAAAAAGTTAACATGCTCAGCTACTAACTAAAATGTTCAAGGTTCAAGACGATGCAGAGGGCCCTTGAAGAAAGAACTAGGATCCACTTCTGAAAAATCAGTCATTGAAAACTCTATAGAAAAGCTCTAATCTACCACACTTGAGAGTTGCAATGAGTTGGAATCAACTCCAAGGTAACTGGTTATAAATAGCACAAGAGGTCAACAGGAGTGGCAATAGACTCTGACAACTGCCTCACTAGTTGCACAGAGCAAAGAAATATCCGTGTACATTCAGATGCACTCATTGTTAATATTTCACTACATAGATTTCAAAGGGGGTAGTAAGATGAGAGAAAAAGTTAACAATTTTGTCATTCTCTTCCAGATTTCTAAATTGTTAAATCTACAATCAATACTCTCATGATATAGAATTATGCACCAAGGGTCTCCAAAATGTTCATGGGAAAATTAAAAGATGGGGAACCTAAAAAAGAAATGGGTAGCGGGGGCACAGGGCACTAACCCACCCAAGTGGAGGGTATTGTTTATATCTCCACATGGAAAGAGGGACCAGACTTCAACCCAGTGCTCCAAGATGTGAATGCAACATACCAGCGTGGAGTAGGGAACCAGTGGGGAGGTATGGGGAACCGGCCCCAATCCCAGCTACTACGTGGACACCTGCCCCTCCCCCGAGAAGAATTTATTTCAAAGGATGGCATTGAATCTGCAGCTCCGGGAGAGGGACATATCTGATCAGAGAACATGGGAGCAGATGAAGGCAGAGAAGGAGAGTGGAGCACATCCTGGCCCACCAGGCCTTGAAGACAATGTTCCCGATTAGAGCAGCCAGTCCAGAAGGAGGACCACATGGCAGGCCCCACTGAGATATGATGTCCTTGACTGACCCACAGCCCTACAGCCGACAACACCAGAGACACAGTGTGGGAATTCCACCCGATCTAATCCCACCAGGCATCCCTTAGGCAAAACACTAAGGGAGTGCAACAGAACAGCAAAGGAACGGAGCGGCGAGGGCCGCATGGAATGCTGAAGGTGGACTTTGGGACCAGGGCGTGGTGCCCCAACAGACTGGACTGGAAAACACTCCTAAAG